CAGTATCATGTGTTTCTTGTGTGACAGGGGCTCTGGATATACCCGTGGGGTGTATAGTAGGGTTTATCCTGTATATATAGTGTCTGCATGGTGGAGCCTTTAGTGGATCTTCGTGATGGCACCGACGAAGAGGGTGATTGGCTGAATGAGCTTATCGAATACAACCGCGATGCAACTTGTGCGCATATATGCATGCATGCAATATATTGCACGTGTGATGCTGAGAACTCGTGCCCCCCATCACTCCACATCCACATCATATTCACCTGTTGTCTCCCAAGGCAAAGTCTTGCTTGGGCATCGAGCCAGCTCCAGCGTCAACACCAGCTCATCATGCCTTGGCAGGGCCAAGGCACCATGAAAGTCATACTGCTGAAAGCACCCTCTACTTGGATAAGCTGGAACCAGATGTTTTGGCTTTGTCTAGGACCGCTGAATGCTTCCAGCTCATCGAGAGAGACCCATGCTTGACATATAGCCTTCCCAGGAAAGGTTCTCTTCCGGGTCGTGTCCTCAAACACTGCTTCCAAACCCTGGAGTGCCATTTGCAGCGGAAATCGCCGATGGCTTTCAAAATCGGTTACACGCATTGCGCATATACACGCTGGTGGAACTCTGTTTTTGGATACACCCATGAAAAGATGCCCAAGTGGGAGGGAATGGTCGTTGTCTTCGCTTCGTCCAACACTGTAGCAGCAAGTTACGTGGAAGCGGCCATGATTCAACATTTCAAGGGTGGCCTGTCTGCGGTTTCCATGGTTTGTTCTTCAAACAACGTAACAAACAAGCAAAACACATGTAACACAAACCCTTGCATCTGACACACTGCCTAGGTATCACAGGTTGCAAAAACGAACGTGATGGCGGAGATAGTGTGAAGGATATGTGCCGAGATGCAGGACCTTTCCTGACCTACTATGTGTTTCGATCTTTCCAGCGGCCTAGTGATGCGCCGTTGATGCGTAGTCGACCGGGGTGCTAAAACAAAGGGCAGTGGTTCCTATATGATGGTATTTTTTTCTAATGGCATTACATCAAGTTGATCAAGTATTCTTAACTGCTGGCATCTAAGGTTCTTGGCCGCTGTTGACCAAGCGAAGGTTGACGTGAAAGAACCGTGTCTTGTATGAGAGTTTAAGATCTCGATAATTTGTGCAAAGCATGTGATTGAAATCTCTCGTCTCTGACAACATTCCCATGCACCTATATAAGGTCAGTGCAGTTTATGACTCTTGAAGCTGACTACAGGCGCTCTGGGGTGTTCAGTGAACCATTCACATTGAGAACTCATGGTGGTTGATTGGTCACCTTCGTGGCTTGATTGAGTGGAGGTCCATCAAGAAGGCTTACACCAAGCAGCAGGTCTTGGACAAGCGGAACAAGACTGGTCGCAAAAACAAGAAGAACAAGAAAGCGGAGGAGGTTGATGAACCCGAACCTAAAGGGGCGAGGGGTAGTAGAAAGGCGGCTCAGCCCAAGGCAAAAGCCAAGGGCAAGGCCAAAGGTAAAAGGACCGAGGCCGAGCCTGATGCTGCCGAGGAGCAGCCTGTGAAGCAAAAGCGCAAGCGAAAGGATCGCGCTGCATGAGCCAAGCTCCACGGCCGATTCATTGCGATCATGTTACATCGTGTGCGGGACTACCTGCAATGCGAGCTTTACACAGTTTAAGAGTGAATATGCGTTTGCTGTACATGTGATTTGCTTTTGAGGAGGCTTGAGAACAAGCCAGGGTGCTGCATGTATCTGAACATGCTGGGGATTGCAACTCGTACAGCTCGTGGCCGGAAAACTGTGTGTTTTGATCTCTTCCTGATCCCTATCCACAACCCTAAATCCCAATACGGTCCTTATACACAGAGTTCGATACTGTTCATGCCAGGTCCATCACGAAAAGCAAAATTTCTCGCGTGGAAGTACGGGCGAGGAGATGCTTGGCGTTCGCGATTTGTTCGGTGTGTGGTGACATAAAAGTCAACATGAGGCCATGTTGTGCATCGTTCCTTGTTTTCCTGCAGGGGTACTTTTGGGTGTCTGAACACTCTTCACTTTTGGGAGCCTGTGGACCGGAAAGGCCTTAGACCTTGGGACAACCTCCACTAAGGATTCTTGCGTGGACATTGTTCGGTCAGCGAAAGCCAGCATCAATGACTACCAGGAACAAGTCAGGGATGGATATACAAACAGTCTGGTATGTCCGGTCTTGAGGGCCTTGCATTCAGTTCCAGATGCCCACGCAGAGGCTTTGGTGCAAGATGGACAAGCTAACTTATTGCATTTTTGTGTGCCCCAAACGTTGTTACGCCAAATGTTGCTTAGTTTTCAGACCCATCTTTCCTCTTTCAACGCAATTCGTGGATGAGGAAGAGTGCGTGTCCAAAGTCTTTGAGTCATGGGGTATGACTTTTCCAGTTGCACTGAGCTATGACCCTGTTGGAGAGTATGCTCAGTTTCCGTGGATTCGTCCTTCAACCATGTTACGAGCTTTGGCATCGACCGGGGATTTCCGTTTCTTAATGGGAGGATTTCAAACCATGCAGAGCGCGAAAGCTGCCTTAGAAGAATTTTGGGCCAGATATGAATCTGTGTACCCACAACATGGCATTTTCCGCAAAGTCCGTGAGTCGAATGGCCAAGTTCGACTATCTCAATGCTTGCCGCTGTCAATCCACGGGGATGAGGGGACGACATACAAGCGCAATGGGGTGTTGGTGATTCAGTTCGCTGGCATTTTGGGATTTGGAAGTCGTAAGACTGAAGAGAGCATGAAAGACTGGGAAGACGATGTAAAAGCTTGCGGGATTCCTTTGAACCTGATCAAGAACGCTTTCCAAACCAGATTCCTGAGTGTTCTTTGCCCCAAGGACAGGGACGTGGTTTGTTGGAACCCTTCATGAAAGCCATGGTTTGTTGCTGCCTCCCAAAAGATACTCCAACTTTTCCATCAAGAGTGAATTGACCTGCACAGGAGGTGTACCAGTACGACGATGAGGCCTACCAACAACTCATCAGGCTGGTGGTGGCTGATTGGAAGAAGCTCCAAGATGATGGTTTCGAGACCATTAATCAGGGCAAAGTATACCCTGTGATTCTGGGCAACAAGGGTGACTGGAGTTATCTTGTGCCCAGGTTCGTATACTAGAGCAATTTTTCCCGCTTCTATAGTTGTGGGATGAATAGGGTTCATGCACTCAGTCAGTCTTTGCAAGCTCGGTCTGTTACCATTGGCGTTTGGCTTGTCAGGTCTCCGCAGCAGGCTTGCTTCGATCCTACAGGAGGGCACCAAAGGGTGCGAGGCAGGCCAAGCAATACATGGATGACCCACCTGGCATTTGCCACTTGTGCATGGCTGGCACGAGCGCAGGTGACTGGGAGGACCTGATTCTAGGCTTGTCTGAAGCAACTCTTTCTTGTGCGATCCTGTGTTGGTATAGGGCCATGTTTGTTGTGAAATGATTTGACCATGAGCGCAGTTTTGTCAGGAAGGTCGCTGAGCGCCTCATTAGACATGCTCGAACTGCCCCGATCCCGGCGCCGTGGGATGAAGTGCCTCCGTTTGGAGATCTTCTTCATGATGAAGCTTGTGGTGGTTTGGAACGCTACCATCGGATTGATATTTGGCACACTTTCCACATGGGTATTGGGAAGGCCTGGATCAGTTCAAGCATGCGGCATTTGCAGTTCCTCACAGGTCAAAGCAATGTCGACCTGAGAGTTGATGCATTGAACTCCGACTTCACGGACTTCTGCGCCGAGCATAGGAAGGTCAAGTATCTGAGGAGGCTGGAGCCAAACACATTTGGCTTGAAATCGCAGGAGCCAAATGGATCTTGGAACAAGGCCCACATCACTGCCACGCTCATGGAATGGATGGAGTCTTTCATGAGTAAACACCGTGACACGTGCATGGAAGATGAGCTCCTTCGCTACATTGTAGCCTGTCTGTCCCAGTGAGGCTTTTTCAAGTGTTTTGTACTGTGGCTCTATCTCTTTTACTGATATGTATCGATGGCGCATTTTTTAGGTCGGTGGTCGAAGCAAAGCTCCTTGTCTGAGCTTCTTGATGTTTTGCACATGTAAGGTCAGCGGGACTGCGGCCATGAATCGGTTCATGAAGGGCTTGCACGCCGAAGGCATTTGGATCCCTCGAGATCGAGCGCTCAGTCTGGCCAAAGACGGCAGGCACTTCATCGAAGCATACACGTATCTGGCCTATCGATCTCTCTCTTCGAGTCAGACGCTATACCCTCTCTTTCCCAAGTTGCACATGATGCTGCACGTTATGGAAGAGATGGTGCACCAGTCTTCTCGCTCACAGTGGGTTTGGAATTGTTTGTGCGATGCATGTTACATCGAAGAAGATTTCGTAGGTCGTGTATCGTACCTCACCAGGTGCGTGAGTGCACGCACTCAAGCTTATAGAGCTTTACAGAGGTACTTGGCTCAGCTCAATGTGTGCTTGAGCTTCAGGTGAACGCCGTCCAGGGGAACAAGGGCGGTTGGAAAAGGGATTGGTGAGTCCGGGGTCCGGGTCATGTGCATTTATACATGTTCACGACTATGTTCAGGTTTACATCATGCAGTTACAGGTGTTCCACATGTTTTGAACACAGTGTTGTGAACAATGCCCTTCAAATAACCATAATAGAAAACATCAATTTCCCGAATTTCCCGAATTTCTTGAAGCTAATGATGTTTACATGCAATGCACTTCATGGACGAAAATCTCAGCAGAATACGAAGATAAGCGATCCATACGATTCTTGAAGCGTAATTGACAACTTAAGTGCTTATTCTGATCATAAGTTGAAATTTCAACACGATTGGAGGACCAGGTACTACTACTACTACTACTACTACTACTACTACTACTACTACTACTACTACTACTACTACTACTAGTCATGCCCTCGTTCCTAGTAGCGATGCAATTTGTTTCTAGTAGCTTCTTACCCCTGAACGTCATCAGCATCCCATACAGTCCCATACTCTCCCGTCCAGTCCTTCATCTTGCGACTTGGTCGCACCACAAATCTGATTTCCCATGAGCAGCCTCTGAGGTCTTCGACCAAGGCTGAAAAAAAGAACGAACCCTTAAGCGTCCTGGTTGTGTTCAAATATGCGCGCACTGCTTGGCACGATGTTGAGCCGAAAACTTATTACATGCAAACACAATAGCCCGCTGCAGGAGCAAATCAAAACACCCCCAGATCTCTTCTAAAATCGCATTCTGTATGTTAGAGATCAATACCTAATGCAAGAACTAAGAACTCAGACCTGTCCCAGCTTCGAAACGAAGGCAGGCCAGGAGCCCAAACGGGAATGACTAGTCACGTACCATTGCTGTCAACCAACAGAGGTTGAAGAACCCTAGTTCGACTATCCCAGTTCGGTACCTCAGTAGGGTGCGTTCGTTCAGGTCACTCTCCACCTCTCTTGGAAAAATCAGGAGGCTCCAGGCTCTCCACCCTCCCTCCGATGTCGACTCGAGGTCTCCAGGAGCACCGGAGGGAGGGTCCCCAGACCGATCCTCGACTCTGGGACGTGAGTCGAGACTGCGGGACGGGCCAGGACGAACGTCGAAGAAGCGTGAACAGATCTGGGCGTTTGACCGTGCAAAACATGGAGTGCATCCCAACGCAGAAACCGTGAAGGTACCAATTCACTTGTTGAAAACAACACTGATGTGGCTGCAGTTGACAAAAGAACTATCGCCCCAGTGATTTTCAAGAGCATGGGCATGGTCCCCTGCAGAACCTGAACGGCGTGATTTCTTGACCCCTAACCCCGAACTATCATTCCCAAGCACTCCATGTATGGAATATATGTCTACCTTGACCCCCCAAACCCACCCAATGTATATGGCAGTCCCAGGAAGCGTCTGGGATTGGAACCTGGGGGAGAACGGCTCAGACCTGACGCCAAGGTGAACCGAGCTGTCGAGCTCCACCGGTTCGTTGTTCGCGATCCACTTTTCAGGTGGTATAGGTGTCCCGAACACGACCTGTCTGGGACTATATATTGCATACTAGGACCCACAAAGAGTGGTAACCTCTAAGGGGTTATCAATAGACACCCCTTAGGGTGTCCTGGTATACCTTGTTTTTGAAATTGATGGTAAATGTATATTGTAAATGTGGGTAAACATGTCCCCTAGAGGCTCCTGGCCCATAGCCTCAGGTTCGGTGGGCACAAACCCCCTAGACCACCCACCCCTGGCCCAGCGGCCAGGAGCCCCAGGGGTCAGTCCCACCAGTCGTGTCCGGGTTTGAGATGGTTTTCGGGCGCTTCGACCGATGGTTTTGGGCGAACCGGCGAAGCCACCGCTGCCTTCCGCCGGCTCGAAAGCTGAGCTGAACGCCGAAACTGACACCTAGAAGGAGTTCCTGTGTAGTAGTAGGCCAATCCCAAAATATAGGAGATGCAGGTGATTCATAAAAACCAGCCACCCAGCTTGCGAACACGGCCAGCACATAAAAATCTTTCCGGGTTTTCCGGATCCAGAAGTGTGAAAGAAGTGGATGCATCTTCTTGTGACCTTAAACATCTTCAGAACACTATAGGCTTGTGATGGCTTGTGCCTGAGCTCAGCTGGGCGGGCGAATCGATGAAACCTCCCTGTTTGGCCGCCTGAAACCATCTCACAGCGCTGCCTTTTTTCGACATCCTCATGACGTTCTTCTGGCTGAAGTCGACGATTTTCTCGTTTTGCATATGATCCATGCCCCCCAAGAAGCAAGCACCCTGTGGCTCCGCCCCTTTTGATTCATAAATTCCTAAAGCACATGCGGAACAAAAACCATGAAAGACCGAAGACCCTTTGGCATTACAACACTTTCTGGACGGGTCAACTGCATCTGACGTTGCCGCGTCCCCTGAAATCTGCAGGCTGAAGGGAGTCAAACACACAGGTGGCGAAGCCGATGTTGCGTTGACACCGAGGAGCCTCCGATCTCTACCAGGACCTCCAATGGGTGTCCTGGCTGGACTACCCTAAACTACTTAATCAGCAAGCTCCATTGGACACCCATTTGATGGTCCAGGTAAAGGAAGTTTAGGGACCTCCTCAACACGGAATCAAATACAAAGTGCACTCGAATCCCGAAACAGGTGCCTCAGACCACACAGGGGCTGGACCATGAGGGATGATCAAACTTTGCTGTTCCCCAGTAACAAATCCGTGAGGCTAGCAGCTAGCATATATATATATATATATATTTACTATATATTTACCTATAGAGAAATTGGGTTGTTGATGTTGAAAGGTTTTAAGGGTCGAGTCAAGTATAGTATAATAATACAATATTCCAAGATATGGATGGTCTCACATGGACACCTATGGTTTTCGGACATCTGGCGATGGTCGGCCCGTCGGCCTCCCTAGGCTTCTCCCCACCTCTGGCATCCACAATCAACCCAACACAGCTCTCCTCAATGATGTCGATCTTCGGACTGTACCTGTGGGTAGATGTTGTGGCATATCCCTGTTGGTTTTTCACTTGGGGGTATCACCTCTTTTCATCAACCAACCGATCTCAGAGTAACTTGGGTACAAGATGGTACAAGTTATATAGAGAGTCATTTCAGTCATGTCCCATTTTCTAAGGTTCTTTGGACGGTCCAGGAATAGTGAATAGTGAAGCGGCCATCTATGGCCCTACTTTGCTTTGAGCATCCCTCATGCACTCTGCACATTGCCACTCCCCATGGCTTGACCTACGTTCGTAGGATGCTTTCCATGCGGGAAGAGATGAAGATCTGCCGGCAAGTCCGACAAAGATTCGGGTTTGGGTCTCAAAATCTGGGCAGTTGTTCATCTTGAAGGCTCCATTGTCCAGGCACTTCCAGGCCTTCAATTGGCCAAATCCATTTTGAGACACACCCATGTTGGCCATTCCAGTTGCCTCTATGTCAGTACCTTCAGCGAATGTGCATGCTTACCTGAATCTGACCTGCTTCCATGCAAGAAAGATCTGCACAAAAACCATAAACAAGTTCCAACAAGGGCTTCCTCACCTACCAATTGCCGCAGTTCTGCTATTCCAAGGCCCTGGAAGGCTAGCTTTCCTTGCAGCTTACAACCTGAGCCACGCTTGTAACTTCTCATTGATTCTTGATCAAAAGCTCATGAGCTCGTCGACGACGGCCTGGTGCCCCTGAGCAGATGCTAACATCACTGGCAGATCCCCTCGAGCATTGGCAATAGATCTGTCAGCTCCTGGCGCAGGCCGCAACGGCGCGGAACGGCGCAAAGGCTTCGGAATGCATTTTGATGTGCTCTATCTGGAGGACGGCCATGGCCAATTGTGCTGGTGTCTGTTTTGTAGGAATTCCCATTGGATGTTTTTAAGGGATCCACGGATCCAGTTTCTCAGAAGCTATACTTGGACCCTCCAAGCTTACATACAAGTGTTTCCAATAATCCTCAAGTGTGGATTCATAGATGGAGTGTCTGGGACAGGCACAACTGCATGGCAGAACTTGCCACTGTGACGATCTGACTGACTGGTGGTGGAGTTTAACATGCTCGTCGACGAACTGTATGTCAGAGAAGACCAGAATCTTCAGTTATCAGAAATCCCATCGATTTCACCACACATTTCGCACCCCCCCAAAAAACACACACACCTTTGAACATGGTCAACTCATGTCAGCGAGTTAGGGCGGGCTACGGCCTCATGGATGGCCTGCGCCGTTCAAGAACGGACTGAGACCGTGGGTCCCCCGGAGCCCCCACCGCTCGTTCGACCGGTCCGGGGGGGGTCCGAGTGCGGTGAGCCGCTTCTTCGAAACCAGGAGTTCCTGCGTTCTTCATGACGTCTCCAGTGAGTTCCTGCTTTTGAGTTCTGAAAAACCAGTGACTCGGTCTTTTGATCTGAATCTTCTCTTAACCAGATCCCCAGGGTCACGAAGTACACCAGCTAGTTTAGCGCCCTTTGGTCGAAGAGTTTAGCGTCTTCTTGATGTGTGTTCTTTCCCACACACTCCATGGGACTGCCATATATATGCCTACATTGGTGTGGTGCCAGAGGGGTCAATGTAGGCTAAGATTCCATACATGGAGTGTACCATTGCATATCCATGGTTAGCCATGACAAATGATATACACTCCCCAAACCAACATGGACCCTCAGAAGGTCCATGTTAATCTTCCCTCGTCCCGGGTGTGTATCTCGAAGAAAGTCAGGCTCAGCCGGGGGAGAGAACCACCCGGCATATGGGAACAAGCAAAAGCAGCCAGCTCCTGCTTCCAATAGGCACCTGGTCAAAGAATGATCACCTGGCCGCTCTCCAGGAACCCTGGGACAAAAATACTACCGCTTCCCCAACCCCCCCAAAAAAAACCTAGGGACACCAAGTACCTTCTCAGCAGCTGATTGGACCCTCCTGGCACCTACATTACGGTGTCTCCAATCACCTGCTGAGAAGGTACGAAAACGGATCCCTAGGGAACTATCACCTCAAGCCAAACCAGGTCACCGAAAAAATGCAGCCATGCCCAAAGGTGTGATTCCCTCCAGGCTTCCGAAGAGTTTGGTGGCCGCAGACAAGGATCCAAAGTCCGACCTGAAGAGTTGCGCCCCAGAAAAATCAGGTGAGCGGTGTCAAAAACCATCAGGTGAGCGGTGTCTGACGTTGCTCAGTGTCGCAAAGACATGCCGTTGTTCAAGCAGACCTTTAGATAGTCGACAAGGAAACGTACGTACCTCGGACCCGAAAAAGACTGGGTATAGATACTTCTGGTACCGCCCGGGACGCTGTTGTTTGTTCTGGTCATGTCCCATGTTCCTACTTGAAGTCGGGTGTGCTACCTGCATCGAGTCGACCTGTTCGTGACCTCGAAGCATGGGCACCATCGTAGCCATGAGCCGATACATGGACCCGGGGTCGAATGGCACCCTGAAAGACTGCATGCTTTCCTTTACCCCTACGCCTCCAGTCGTACCTTCGTTTCGAAGGTGGGACTGGGGTGGGTGCCAACAGGGTCCAGTCATACCTTCTAAGGAGGTACGACTGGAGGTGTAGGGTACCAACATGTACCAACGAGTGGTTTTCAGGGTCCATGGGATCGTTCAGCGGACCATCTATGGTCCGACCTGCCATGTTTTACGAGTCTCGAGGTCTTGGCCTAGAACGAACCTCAGCTCAGTGCTTACACCCGGAAGATGGACCTGCAAAGAAGACGATCTTCCTCTACCAGGACCATCCTGTCAGCGTGCCCTGTCTGGAAGCCAGTGTGGGGTAGTCCAGCCAGGACACCCAGGTCCAGGATGGTCCTGGTACAACCCCATGTCTTTCAGGTTCCATGTGGATCTCTTCTGTCCCTGCCAACTCGGCGGCCTGGCCGCCTCGAGAGGCACAGCGAAAGAAGGAGGCGAGAAGAACCCAAAGTAAAAAGCAAATTGGTAAACCAAGATGCATGTTGGAGATCATCTGGGAGCTATGGCACATGCATGCAAAAATGCCAGTTCCTGCTGTCGACACTTGCGCGTCGACATCAGCTCTGTGTTCCAGGAGCAGCTGGGCCTTCTCCACAGATTGGCGCTTGGAACAGGCGGTCAGCGAATGCAAGGGGTGGACCCCAGCGTTGGTGGGATTCACTTCCTTAGGGCGCCGTGGCGCGCCGTGCGTGTTTCCCCGAACGGAAAAGAACCATGATGTTCTACCATCAGCCAATCCATGCCAATCCTTAAAACGTCTTAAAACCAGGTGTCGCACCGCTTGGCGATCATCTCCGCCACGGTGTCTGGGCCGGCCCAGCAAGCGACACTGACGAGTGGAGGGTGTCGGAAGCAGCCCATGCTTTCCAAATCCTTGCAACGGACGCGCAGGAACCCCGCAGGAACCCCGCAAGCAGCTGGTTAGGACCATTCCATTCATTCCGAAGATATCATACAAACCCGTCTCGTCTTTTTTTTTTGAACTGGTGTTTTCAATGCTTGGTGGTGCAACATAAAGGTCACTTAGCACTATAAACATGAGTCAAAACGAAGAAACTTCAATCACTCGAAATTATACTTAAATGTGCCACATCGATCGCGCAATATGTGTATGGCGATGCGAAATAAACATATGTACCAAGTCATTCTCAAGTAGAGGCCTGCAGGTGCTCGAACCAACACTCCATGTGCAAGTGACAAAGTCAAAATCAACAGTTCCTTCAATGGAAATGGCTTATCAAGGCTTTCGGCTTTCTTGTGAGCATTTTGGCAAGGGTGAGTGTATACCTATGTCCATCCCCGCTTGATCCATCATTCAGTTTAAGCTTTGACAAATAGAAGATTCATGGGGGTCTCCCACATATGTTCCATAATCATTCCCAAACACTGCATGGGACATGGCACTGGCATTTATCCATGAGTGTGTGTATAAGAACATAGGAAGACCTCCCAGTTCAACCCCCAAAAAAAGGAACCTCAACCAAACAAACAATGAAATATCCCTATAGGGATCCACTGCCACCGTACCTCAGGTTCGGTATGACTGGGCCCTCCTGGCGCTTACATAAATCGTCTCCAATCACATTCTGAGAAGGTACTTGGATCCCTAGGGTTTCATTTTAGACCATTTCACCACGTTTGAAGCGGATCAAAAACCAACACCGGCTATGAACATCCACGAAAACGCCGAAGCCGCCGTTTCGTAGCGAAGCCGGTCCGGTTCGCCCAGGGTCGACCTTCGCAGCGGCCAGGACCTGCACTTGCCCGGGCAATTGAACCCAATGAGCCACCTGCGACCCAAAGCGGCTGCCGGCCGTCAAATCTGCCTCGGCCAAACACGGGGGGCAGAGTAGGGGGCCTCGGCGGCAGAGTAGCGATGAGGTGGCAACCAAACTGCAAAAGCCAAGCCGGACGTGAGAAGAGCCAAGTAGAAACACACGATCCATGATCCATGGTGCTCAACCGACCGGCTTTCAATTCATGGACCTTTTAAACTTTAGAGATCACAAATATACTTGGTGAGGTAGTTGGACCTTCCGCAGCCAGCACCTGATCAATGGATTTCGGGAGATCCTATGAGAGGATTCAACCTTTCGAAGCAAAAGAACGCACTCGAAGCCCACTCGAAGCCCGGGTGATTGTTCGACGTGCGAGCGCGAGCGCGCACCACAAACCCGACAGTTCCGCGCGTAGAGCTCAACCATCCCTATGGATCCACATACCTTCTCAGAAGGTACTTGGACCCTCCTGGCGCCCACATAAATAGTCTCCAAATACCTTCTGAGGAGGTACGACTGGATCCATAGGGCATGCTTTAGACTCTGACCGTTCCAAATGACTCTCGACCGTTCCGCTCAGCCACTCGCAGCTCAATGAGCGTTTGCAGCACCGCTGGATCTTGCTTCCACCTGGCTGCAATCATCAGCGGTGTGTGGCCACTGGGCTGTCGGCAAATCTTCTCCAGGTTGTAACACCTGTCGACTCAAATCTTCGAGTCCGAAATTGTGACGTGCCAGGAGGGTCGAAGTATACCTTCTGAGAAGCTACTTGGATCCCTATACAGGAAGTAAGTACTCACCTCCGTTCGACCATCCGAAGTGCGGACGGTATACCCGACCAAGAAAAACCTCGCACGGTGGAACGGGACGGAGCATCCAAAGAACCAATTGCAGTTGCTACTAGTCGCTTCTTGTTCCTAGTAGTATAGTATACTGCGTCCGATCGCCCCGTTCGTAGCGTCCGATCGCTCCGTTCGGGCTGCGATGCCCGAAAGGCTCCGTTCGTAGCACTTGTCCTCCTGATTCCAGTGGATCCGATTCGGGCTGCCACCAGGAGGCCCGGTGCTCAGATCCACTGGCACCCTCTACTTCGTATCTCGGTGATGTGTTCGACGAAGTCATTGATCGGCGCCCGCCATACGAACCGGGTCGGTAGACACATCCGAAACTGCTGAGGCCATTGCAAAGCAACATCCACAGCCCATCCGATGTTGACTTTCTCAGCTCGTTTCATATGAGGTTTAACAATGTTGAACAAAGGGGTCCAAAGCACTAAACTGTCTGGAAAAGAAAAGTAACAGCTTTTTAATTATGAACACCCATCTAAAAGACCTCTTGGGGGTACCAGTGCCATTTCTCACCTCTGACACTGAAACTACTGTACATAGATGTGCATCCGGCCACCCTGTGGCTTCTCTCACCCCGTCGCGGCCAGTCCGCGGCCGATCGTCCGCTGCTACGGAACCCGGAACCGCCTGAGGTTCACATCCGCCATGCTTTCGACCAAGGTCCGAATCATCTGCACATCACCCGAAAGGACGGCACAAAGCAAGCCAGGCATGGAGCTCGTCTCCTCCGGAGCGTCTTGTCAGGACGAAGTCCGGCCGAGTCCCTCCTCGATCGTCGACGAGAACGGAGGGGAGGGAGCTCTGTGGGGTCGCAGGCAGGATCCTTTCCGGGATCCAGTCGTAGCTTCTCAGGTGATTGAAGAAAATGGTGCCAGGAGTTTCCAGTCGTACTGAACATGAGTTTCGGTACGAAAACGGAATCCCTAGCGGTTTTTTTTTTGTAGCGTTTGTTGTTAACACGACTCGGTACGACTCGGGACTTGCAGATGACTCCGGGCCAGGGCGGCATTGCCATCCCCAGTCCCATGAAATGTCTCGGGATTGAAGATCTGTCTACCTGGCTTGGACAATGTTAAGGCTGTTAGGGGTTCCAACACTCCCAAACACGACCTGTCTGGGACTGCCATAGGACTGCCGCCCCATTGCCCCCCCAGTCAACCACCCCAACTGATCGGCATATATGACCCCAACTGATCGGCATATATGGCATACATGGTGTCTGGGACTGTTGGATCCGGCCTACTGAACGATCTCGATGAAACGTCGTGGGAGTGAGGGGTCTTTCAACATCTTTATATAAGAACCTGGGCTCTTCCTTCGGTCTAAGATCCGCACCTTGGGACAGATCGGCCACTCCTCAATTGCTGGACCCGTAGTTCAGACAGCAGCATGGGTACTTGATGGTACTTGGTACCAGGGCCCACCCGGTTTCGGGTGTCCATGAAATAGCCCAAGTGGTATGACCTTCTCCAGCGAAGTGAGGTCTTTGACCTGCAGGCTTAAGAATGCTTAGAGGTAGTTTCTGACCCATCAAAACCCCGCTTTGTAACGCGCAAACTCCCACGTCGCATACATTGCAATCGCAAAAATCCTCGAGGGTCTGGCTTTTGAAAACCACAGGTCGATCTTGACCGTTTGCTCTTGCTTCCCACATGTCTTCCAACTCAATGACCTTTGCAGCCCGGAACCCATCACCTTGGGTGCCAAAACTACCCCCACTCCCAAGCAAACTCCCTCGGAGCTGTCCCCGGGGCTGTCACACCAGCGAAAACAGCACACGACTTCCGCGCGACTTCAAACCAATCCTGAGCAGCCTCCTGCAGGCTAGAAAAATGAAACTGTCGCAGAAACTCGCTGGAAGTCCAGGATGACCGCATGGAGTTGGTGCTCCTTTCTTGGCTCCTGCGCTCGATCAGCGGCGAACGTCTAGTTACGGAGAAGAAGGAGCTGAAGTGGATTCGTCTGGGAATACGAAGTGAAGCGATCCTTGGAAGACGACTGATAGGACTGGAATACTGTAATATGCAATATAATCCCTAGGGCTCCAAGGCTCCAAGTACAGTACCTTCTGAGGTGTTTGGGGTGGGTGGGTTTGGAGAGTCCAAATACCTTCTGAGGAGGTACTTGGAGGTGTAGGGCAATATAATGATTAAAGTGTTGTATACCTCGAGTCTCAAAGTAAATTGGAAGCCTGGGTGCAAGTACCTGTTTAGTTCTTTTATAGCGTCATGTCCCATTTTGAAAGGTGCTTTGGAGGGTCCAGGAACAATACACCCTAAGAATCAAGAACCCTCAAAGGTGAAGGTTTTGAGGGTCCAACCACCATAGGAGGGTCCAATGATGCTGAGGGCATATTATATCAAGCGCAGCTTGCACCTGCTCAAGTCCTCGGGACTGGGAGCTCTGGCGACGAGTTATAAAGACTGACAGGTCGGATGCACCTTCGATGACTGGCAGTGGCGAGACAGCCAACTGTCACAATGCCTGCATTGCATTCTATTCACCAGGACTTGGAGGATTGTCTCATGATCCAAAAAAACGATGGCTGGTCTCCAAGTCTCTTTTATATATTTCATACATTCCCTGAAATCATGGTTAGGTGGATGGCACCACCTCTTTGGTCTTCGCGACATGGCCATACTTTTGGGGCCATCCCTGGCCCGATCGGGCTGTCTATCCCATTCCCGTCGACAGGCTAACAGGTGTGTGGGTTTGGAACATGTGGTCGTGTTTCGTTGGATCTCTTTGGTCGGAAAGATCTGCCAGTTCATCCAAAGTCCCGGAATTTGGACACCGGAAGGAAGGAAGGAAGGGCAGCTGGGTTCTTTAGAAGGTTGTTCCGCGGTGACGAGGATTAATCCACTGGACTGTGAGTGACCTTGGACCACCCAACACCTAGAATACAGCCTTTTCCGATCAAAACAAGGTCAACTGGGTTCTAGGAATATGAATGTGATAAAATATGATCATTACAGTGGATAGAGAGTAGATGGCACAAACCTCTCAAGATGTCCTTTAGATAGGAGTTCATATAGACCACCTTTTGGGGGTTTGGGCCATCTACTCTGAAGCAACTGTAATATGTTTAGTATGTTCCACACTTCATTCAGGTCCGAAAGCTGCCTCTGGCTAAGTTCACCGCTGCTCCTGGCCAGTTTGAATTGCCCGGTGACCAAATAGCGGAAATATGCCAACGAGCCGGTCTGGCTCTCATGCTGAATCTTCATCGCAACGGACTTCCGGACCAGCTCTGAAACCATCAGCCGATCTTCCTGGCGAACAACTTTCAGGTATGAAACTTGCCAAACAAGGTAATCTATTTGGATATGAACGCATAATCTAGCTGCACCAAAGAACATAGATGATAATCATGTTTGCTTTCAGAGACTTGAACAGCCAGGAAATCTATTTAAGGTGGAGTAAAAGGAGTCAGTTGATTGGGCGTCTGCGTCCTCCACTGTGAAGTGGCTTTGTGAAACCGCATCCCAATCAATCTGCCAGGAGTTCAGTTCGGCATGCCTTGCAGAATGAAGGGTAATGATCGTGGTGTCAGGCTTGTTGGACAATTGTTGGCACAGCAGCTCAGAAATACACCATCCCCTCAGCTGCCAAGACGTGGAATTGCAAATCATTCCAGTGTCCCGATGAAAGAGTTCTGGCGCCAGGATCACGAACAAATTGCATCTCTCCACATATGCTGGAATACTGTCCACAGCCTTTGCTGCCTCAGCCTGTTTCACATCATCTTCTTCCTCATCGAAGACCCTCGTCCTTGAGATGGCCTGTGGGACACCAAACCAATCAAACCTCAGCTCTGTCACCATTCGGACGGTGTAACGACGAGCAATCAGAGGTTTTCAGAACCCGACTTAGACGATCCCAGTTCGGTACCCCAGCAGGATCCTTTTTCAGATCACTTCACCTCTCTTCATCGGTCCCGTGTTTCTGGCATGTCCAAATTGAGGGGTTCAACCACCAGCGCAAGTTGGTCATAACATACGCTCAATGCTTTTTAGCATAGTTATCACAATCATTGGGGATCATGGGGGATCCTCTTCTTTTGTCTTCAAGCATAAGAAACCAAACGAAACCAATCACACCGATGCCGACCCGTCCTGACTGGGGAAACACCTAGCTACAGTCAAACCAACTAGCTACATGACAGGTACTATCCCTAAAGCTCCTGGCCTGCCTTCGTTTCAAAGCCGGGCCAGGGGTGGGTTTACGGGGGTCTAACATGGTCTAACCACCTGAGGATATGGTCGGAGCCCTATAGGGAATATGGGTGGTCGACCTCCTTCGACCTTCCAGGCGTTCCGACCTCCCAGGAGTTCGGGCAAATCGACCAGCCTACCTAGCGCTTGCGCGTCCGGCCAGAGTCCGGGACGTCTCCCCCCAAGAGTCCGGCATACAATCCCTAGGGGTCTGTTTTCGTAGCGAACCTCAGGTTCGGTACGACTGGACCCGACTGGCTGGCACCTACATAGCGGTGTGTCCCATCACCTGCTGAGAAGGTACGACTGGATCCCTCAAAAATAGGCATACACACACGTCGTACCCTCCCTGGAAGAAACATGGATCCACCGCCACCGTACCTCAGCAACTGGAGCCTCCTGGCACCTACATAAATGTCTCCAATCACCTAGCCTGAGAAGGTACGACTGGATTCCTTTATAGGGAAGGTATGGGTTCATTCCAGTTCCTTCCAGTGGCGTCCGATCTGACAAAAAACTGCCATGAATCCAAGCTCCCCAGACGAACCCATGGTCCATGAGTCCGAGCCCATGGTTCAGACATGTTCAGACTCTTCTCATCCTACCAATCTACCACCCCAGTGGGGAAATCAGGGTTCATGTTACTCTTCATTTGAATCTGCAGAGAATGCACCAGCACCATCCAGCACCATCCAGCATCTGACGTCCCATAGCCGGCATCTATTTGCCTACTCTGGTGATTTCAATGTACGGTCCGACCGTCCCATCGGAGGAAGACTTAGCACACGGTCCCGGACCTAGTCGAAAAAAACCAGGGGTCACGGCGCCGGCACACCTTCGTGGTTGACCCCAACATGAAGCGATTCCTCGGTATGTTATTTTAATTTGGAGACCATCAGCGGATCGTGGTCCTTCTCACTTCGTTGGAGGTCTCCCAAATTTTAAGACGGCCATATCAACCTACAGGTTTCCCCTGTCCGATGGTCGTTTTGCAGGCCGTGTTTGTTCACGAACCTTAAACAGGGGGCCGGTGGATCGAGTGGATCTTCAAACAAATATATATACAAAACAATACCTAGGACCTGATTGACCCCTGTTTTGGAGCCAAAACATGGTCTTTTCCTATCAAAACAGAGGTCAAATGGGGTCTAGGTATATATATACAAAACAATAAAACACTGGGAAGGGTAAAACAAAAGGTCCGTGTCAGAAGCCACGCAATTGGTTTGGGAGACCTCTCGTGGTCTCCGGTCACCTAGTCGTGGTTAAGGTAACAATGCCAGTTTAGGTCTTGAGTTGAGTGAACAACATCTCCAAAGACATATGTACCTAGCGCTTCCTGTCGGGGTGTGACCTACAAGCAGTGTACCCTATGGATCCACATACCTTCTCAAAAGGTAATTGGACCCTCCTGGCGCCTACATACATAGTCTCCAAACTATACCTTCTCGGAAGGTATGTGGAATCCATCCAGGGGCATGTCCGGTGTTCCCGCACGGAAAGCAGGTCAGTATACCAACCTCTTCCCACCGTTCTTCCGCCACCAAAAAGGACGTGACCGGGTGGGACTGATGGACCTGGCCGAGCGACCAAAGGTAGCCCTCGGGCAGGCGGGTCCTCAGTTCGTGAGTGGTGTGGGTCTCATCCACAAAGAAGACCCAATAGCCATCCAAACTCCTCAGCGAGCAGTCACTTGGAAAGAATGAATGCGATGCAAAGACAGCATGGCGGTCATGTTTTTGTTTAACTGGGTTGGGTGTGAAGGCTGTTGGTGGGAGAAACAAGTGGACACTCCGTTGCAGTCACGCGTCACATAGAAGTGGATCGCACCCCTATATCCTACAGGAAAGTCGTCCTCCTTTCAGGACCATGTCATCAGTGTACGTACACCGCGTTCGACCGGTCGAGCGATCGCGTCGCGTCCGCAGAAAGGGCTTCCCCCTGATGCTGCATGACGTCCTGGTGAGAAGGTGGTCAATAACTGTGATGCGGAGGAGGTTCCACTCAATGATGTTCTTTTGTAATAATAGAGGGGTCGATTTGGTACCATGTTGGTTGTTCACTTGGGGTATCACCCTTTGTATCATCCACCCAATAGTGAAAGGCCATCTATTGTTCCACTACCGTCTCGGTTCTTGTTTTGATTTACAGCCTAGCTGTTGACACAGCTGGGGCGCGGCTCGTTCTTGGGCTTGACCCCAGCTGTATTATGCACATGTTTTCGCAGGGATGTGCAGGGTGATTAGATCCGTTCTCATTTTCCAACAATAGAACCCTAGGGATCCAAGTACCTTCTCAGGTACGGTGATGTGAGACCAACACTGTCATGTCGGTGCCAAAACGTCGGGTCCAGTCGTACCGAACCTGAGGAGAAGGTACGACTGGATCCTTAGGGGAAATGGATCCCGGTCGCTCGTCGGCCGACTCTCTGCACCGAAGGTTTTAGTGCACCGAAGGTTAGTCAGATGTAGATGACGTATTGTTCTGCTGGAACAGTTCTAGCCAAGCAAGAATCAAATGGAAGTAGACTTCTTCAGCTCCCAGATGAATCCTCTCATCAACCCAAACCTGAAAGCATCTGAAAGCACAGCCCGCCACATCCATGAAAGCACGGGCCCACCAGCTCTGAACCAGCTTTTGTTTGTGCCAAGATTCAAACGTAGAGATCCATCCATGAGTCCCTCCAGTGCTAACCGCAAGACCTCCATCTGCTGTCCACCTGGGTCCGGATGTAGCCTGCAACACGGCGCATTGCGCGTCCGAGCTCGGCGCCGATGGTGTTCGTCGCCGATGGACCAAGGGCTGGTGTGGGTGTCACCCTCGTCCGAACAAATCGGACACACTGCTTGCCCCCCTGCTTGGAAAAACCCAACGAGTTCCCAGCTGTGATTCCAACGGGTTCCACACACACTTATCCACACACCTGGACCCCCAGTCGAGTCGGGGTGGATTCATGGAGAAACCCCCGCGTCACCAGGACAAAAGCGGTGGCACATGTACTCCATGGACACCTGGAATGCGTGGTGGCACATGGTGGTCAGTGGTCGATTAATCCATTTAACATAACCCGTTTGGCCTCCAGTCTTGCCGTATCGTTTCGAAGGTGGGACTGGGGTGAGTGCCAGGAGGGTCCAGTCATACCGAACCTGAGGAGGTACGACTGGAGGTGTAGGGTAATCCCTTCAAGAGACTAAACACACCTGGCCAAAGCTTGCAATCACGACAAAAACTGAGCAGCCTTGAGAGCCACTGATGCGAGACAAAGAGCACAAACATACCTGGCTGCCACTGATGCAACAGGTCTTCCTCAGAGTCTCCATCGTTGACGAGTCAGACACTCTGTACCATCAATTTGTCTGGATGGTTTTAATGTGTGGACTGGCCCGCCCGGTTGACCCAAAAATACAACACAAAAACACCCTAGGGATCCAGTCGTAGTACCTTCTCAGAAGGTACTTGGACCCTCCTGGCACCTACATAACAGTGCCTCCGATCACCTTCTGAGAAGGTACTTGGATCCCTATGGACAGAGCTTTTCAACAAAAAGACTGAACTTGCAGCACACAAAAAAGGACACTTTGGTCCACTAAACACACCAAGAAATAAACCAGGAGTCACATGGAGTTGGGTGCCAAACGAACAGAGGAAGTCGGGCAATGCCCCTGTCACATCCACTCACCTGGGGACGAAGCAAACCACCCAACTCCAATATGATTCCTGGAACGCGACTCTAGTGGCGACCTCAACAACCTCCATGACGACCTAAACTACTCTCCCTCCGAGGCAAGGCTCCTGCAGAAGGAACGCATGATCCTTCGGAGTGCCCCTCATCTGCAAGAAATCCGAGATCTTCACCAAATACATCGGAAAAGACATCTCGTGCACCCAGGACTTGTCGCACGAGTCACCATGGACACTGCCAGAGCTGGCTGCGTGAGGGTTCGCGCCACAGAGCTGGTTTCCCATCTTTTTCAGGGGCGAGACGCAACGCGACGCAGACAGCGAGACCTGTGAGCTCGTTGATGGTGTGAGGTTGGTGAGGTTGATTCAAGATGCTAAGACATAAAGCAAGACCTGGGATGGACTTGCACACCCCCCCAAAAAAAAAACAACTAATGCCTTTTGTTTGGCACCTTCTGAGAGAGAACATCTCGATGAAACAACTGGGCAGGTGTTTTGTTTTTTTTTTTTTTTTAAATATACGTGTCCTTCGAACATCACTGAGGTTCTTATAGTTCATCCTTAGTTGTTCAAGCAATCAGTGTGCCAGGCGTGCCACCTTTTTCAAGTGGTTCTTATCGTATCAAGCAATCCTTGTGGTTCTTATACTTATAGTCAGTACTTAGTACTATAGTATACTTAGTTCTTATACTTATCAAGCAATCCTTGTGGTTCTTATAGTTCAGTGCCCAACGCTTGGGGCTTCAGCTGGTGTGCCCTGAGCCGAGCCGAGTCCTCTCCTGCAGATCCACAGGTCTCATGCGATGTTTGCCGCACAACTCATGGGTGTAAGGGAGGGATTTGAGCGGTTGTCCAAATCCACATGAACACCTAGACCTCTGACTCACGATCTTGAACTTTCACGATCTTGAAACCACTTCTCAAGGTCC